CTTTGCAACATGTCAGTCGCAGAACCGTGTTGCAGGTCGATGTTATTGAAGAGTTGATCTAACCTTTGTCGATCGGTTAGGTCTCCTCGTTTAAGAATCGAACGTTTAAGGATTTCGTAAGGTTCGGAAACATCACTAGTAAACATACTAGGTGTTACGTACCTGTTGAATTCGCGCGGTAGTGCCTTGACTACTGCGAGGAATTGTGCACGTGTGTCGATCACGCCGTGCTCGGAGAAATCAGCTTCTGCGTAGCAGAACCAGGCTTCGATATTGTCGGGCCAGAAAGGCATGAGTTGAAACGAAGGCGGGGACAAAGTCTTAAGCTTGAGTACTTTGGGTGTCTGTTCAGCCATGATGAAAATATGAAGTACGATAACGAACGAGGGAAAAATATATATATATATCCCAGGAAAAACACGAAAAAAAAAAATCACAATGTTTAAAAAAAAGGTAATAATATATAAAAATCCCAAAAAGGAACAGACTCACAGTTGCAGTTAGGTGTACCAGATCACGACGGTCTCACCAATGAGGATGATACAGGTATTCAGTGTTTGACAACGCTTCTACCAATAACACCTTCTAATATGCTTTGTTCCCACCAAGAGAAATCAAAAGACAGAGTCGAGGAGATCGGAAGAGTGTATTTGGCGATAACCAATATATCGGGAATCTCTGATCTAATCTGGCTAGTGATTGCGGTTGTTGTTGAGCACAGCGTGACAGCACGTGATCTGGTGCGGATGCATGACCGAGCGCCTTCAGCTAGATGAGTCCACTAAAACATATGGTCAGCATCCAATGTCGAAAACCTATTGAGCTATTTAGTTTGGGGATTTATTTACCGCTACAACATTCTCATAGAAATTTTTCCCCTGTGACTTATCTAAATAATTTATTATTTATTTGAACACATAAATATTGGTACAAGAGAGCGCCAATATATATGCGCCACACAAAACAATGAAAATTCGAAGAGAGATAGAAAAAAAAACTAAGGAGCACAAAATAAAAAGAGAACGATAACGAAGCGATTGGTGTAAGGTAGTGTGGTAGTAACAAGGGAACGGAAAGGTACAATCAGAAGAAATCTTTCAAGTAAGGGAGACACAACCACTTTTTATGAAGAAAGTAAAAGAAGGTCACAGCAGGATCGTCACTGGCTTCTATTCTGAGCCATGTCTGATAACGTCTCTAGCCACTGTGTAGCACCATCTCTCAGACCCCAACCAGGGAGTCGTGAAGGACCGACAGAAGCCAGTCCTTTGCAGCTTTCTTTCATACCACGACACCATGTCATGCACTGACCACCTCTCCGCCTTTTCCAACCAGTCCCAGAGTCGGCAAATAATGCACGACGTGGAATTCTCTGGGGCGACATTCGTAGAACATGTCCAAGCCACCGAAGTCGGTGTTTCAAGATGGTGACACCAATTGAATTATCATCTCTGTGCCCGAACACACGATGCCGAACCTCTGCATTACTAACATGGTGTTGCCACTGGATGTCATGCATTGATCTCATCACTCACACCCCCACCAGAACTTATGCAGCTACCCAGATACACGAACTTCTCGACTACGTCTATCTGCTCACCATCCAGGGTGAGTACAGGATTGGAATCCTGCCAGTCTTGTAGAAGTACTTTGCACTTCGAAGGTGCAAAGCACATACCATACCTACGGACACTGATTGCCAACTGATTAAGTGCGGATTGCATGCCTTGGGCATTATCGCACAGTAAGACAATATCGTCCGCATACTCAAGGTCGAGAAGTCTTTCTCCAGGCAACAGATCCACACCACCATTACTTACATTCATCAGAGCTGTTTCCAGAATGTCATCGATGGTAAAGTTGAAGAGGAATGGTGAGATTCGGCAACCCTGCCTAACCCCACTACTCGAATGGAACAATGGAGAGAGGTGGTTGTATGCCCTCACTCTGCCTGAGGTGTTTTTATATAGGGCTTTTAAGATGTTAATAAACTTCTCAGGCACACCCTTCTTCAATAGACAATCCCAGAGAACAGTCCTGTCCAACGAATCGAAGGCAGCCCTGATGTCAAGAAACACTACGATTGTTGGCCTTTGATAAGTATGGCGATGTTCTAACATTTGGTGGAGGGTGAAGATATGATCAATACATCCTCGACCAGAACGAAACTCAGCCTGCTCCTCGCGAGTCAATCTTTCTCGGGTTTTGAACAACCTACGAAGTATGACGGAAGCCAATAGCTTGGACGCAATCGGAAGTAGACTTATCCCCCGATAGTTGTTGCAGGAACGACGTGAACCCTTTTTAAAGATAGGGACAACTATCGACTCATTCCATGACGTTGGTACACTCTCTAGTTCCCAAACCTTTGTAAACAACGTCGTCAATTCCTTAGTCAAAAAGTCACCACCATCTTTAAAATGAGCCGGAGGTAAGTCATCTGGGCCAAATGATTTGTAACGCTTCAAGAGTTGGAGTTCCTTGCGGACTTCCTCCTCGTTTGGTGGATCAGTCGTCACCGGCCATGGGAGGCAGGACAGTCTGACCGATGTTGCCGGAGCAGCAGGCCAGTTGAACTGCCCTTCGAAAAATTCTGCCCATCGTCCAAGACGTCGATGGATGTTAGTGATTGGCATCCCATCATCCTCGCAGATTGTTTCACTCACACCAGACTTCTTGCTGCCAGTGGCTCGGATGAGCTGGAAGAGCTTCCGGTAGTTACCAGATGCAGCTGCTGCTTCCAGCTCATTAGCGCGCTCCGACCACCAGGCTTCTCGGTCCTTACGCAAGCTTTGCCCAATTTCCTTACGTAACATCCTTCGTTTATTGTCAAACTCACGGTCACCCGGAGTAGACCGACGGGCTTCAATAAGTTGTAAGGAACCAGAAGAAATCCAGTACTTATAAGCGGGACGTTTCGCAAACCCACTACTGACTGTTCCCGCCATTTTCATGGCGTCATGCAATTGCAACCAATGCTCATCTATACCTTTCGGTGGAGTGGTAGCTAGCCTAGAGGCTAGCTCGGTTCGATACTTATTTGCAACAGAAGTTGCAGCCAGCTTGCTAATATCAATCCTTTGATGGCGGTCACTCCGTTGTCCACTGAAAAGTAAGGCAAGATTGGCGCAGACCAGGGCATGATCAGAGTCCAGATAGGTACTCCAAAAGGAGCGGCAGTCTTGTACACAACCACGCCAGCGGTAGCTGATCGCGATGTGATCAATCTGAGTCCAGGTTTGGGATGCAGAGGGAGGACGCCAGGTGGCACATCGGCGATGACTGTGCCGAAAGTTAGTGCTAGCCAGAAACAGGTTTTGATCTGTGCAAAGTTGCAGTAGACGGTTCCCGTTATCTGACCTGCGACGAACGAGTCCCCATCGGCCACCTAAACGACTCTTCTTTGCCTAGACGCCCGACCTGAGCATTCAAGTCTCCGGCTAGTACTACAATATCTATCGAACGCACTTTCTGGAGAAGAACAGATAACTGGCGGTAAAACTCATCCTTGCTTGCATCCGGGCTGCAATCTGTCGGCGCATAGGCGGAGATGATGAAAAGACATCGTTTCTCACGCCGATTTCTTCTCACTTTGATGGAACTTTCTAATCTAACAGCACATAACCGACTGTTAATGGGGATCCAATCGACTAGTGCTGCCTCAGCTCTAGCGCTTAGTGCGACACCAACGCCAGCAAGACCAGACGAAGATGCCACAGGGTCCCCGGATAAGCGCACGTAAAACAAGCTTTTCGAAGCGACAGATGGAGATCGAAATTGTAGTACTTCGCCAGAGTCTTGAATACGGGTCTCGGATAGACAGCAAACATCAATATTAAGACTTTCCAAAGACAGCCAGCCCTATCTGTTGTCCGACCTGCACTAGTGTGCGAACGTTGAAGGCAGCCAGTTTGAGTGATGCACGTGGTTTCAGAAAAACTGCTTCAGTTCTCGTATTCGGTGGTAACATACAATTTTCAACCGGACAGTGATTCGAGAACGTTTAGATACAGTCGAATTTCCACCAAAGACGAGCCGCTGTATAAGTATAAAAGAGGGTGAATAATGTGGAAAATAATAATAATAATGGTAATAATAATAGTATTAATAATGACAATAATTGTAATGATAATAATTTGAATCAATTTATTGTTTTTCGAAGCGAGAAAGGTAATTTCCATAGACATAAAGAGTTCATGATTTGTGTGTGGGCTGTGATACTGCTCGGGTGCCCAAACCGAAGCAGGTGGTTATCTTAAGGGTCCACACCCCGAGCCTTTGACCTAATGGTCTAACCCACAAGGCAGTGGAGTATCGTAAGGAGATGCAATCCCATGGTAGCCGGTGACTAACGATTAGTTCATACGCCATTTGTTCCCGCAGGATACTGGAGCCCATGTGCACCATTGGTTTGTGATCCGGTTAAAGCGCCGGACGTTCGCTTTTCATCCTCTCATTTTCGTAAACAACATCCCCGCCACGAGAAGGCAATGAGTAGGACTTCCCTGGCAGAGGCTGTATACGCGCGGCCGTGTGAGAGTATTTCGAGAGGGAGAACGAACTCTCCCCACTCTCGGCCGTACCAGGGCGTTCGGGGGGGGGGTCGAATATCTTAACTGGTAAACCATAAGCTTTTGTTTTACGAGTATAGAAGGTAGTCAATTATTTTTTCCAAGTTCACAAAAGTCTATTTCGGTTGTATACATAGAAAATAGATATGTAGCGATGAATATTGCGTAGTCCATTTAAACTTCTAAAAATAAAGGCAACCAATATTTTTATTACTTTCCATAAGTCTAATTTGCTAATGTACAATGATACGTTAATTTTCTAATTTGGCTCTTATGAACATTTATTAAAATGGAAATATTGGAAAAATCGTTTTCAAAACCGTGTTTAGTTTCCACAAATTATGTGTTCATTGTTCACTTTTTTTCAGTAACATGATGGCTGGTTCTCGTGCTAGATTTTTTCTCTTCTCTTTCTTCATGTATTCTTAGGTTGTTGTTTGTATCATATTGGTAGATCCCAGTACAAAACAATTGATGGGCTCTCTGCTTCCTCATCTAGTCAATCCTATCCCCTCCGTCCTCAACGTTTCGGAGATGCTCTCTAAATGTCCTGTTGGTACACGTTTCTCAGGTTCCTTGGTAGAGCGTGTAAACAAACGCGCTGTTCTTGTCAAATTGCCTAAAACAAATGGACTCAAAGCAGTTATCAGAGTATGTTAAGCAATACCGGTTGATAATATTTTTCTGAATAAACCTGATACTTTTTAAGTATTTTAATAAATCTTCAAATTTGTAAACGGTTATATTGGAAAGTAAGACAAAAAGTTATTCTAACGAATAACTTATTTGGATTTTTATTGTAAAATATTACAATGAAAGGTGTATTATCGTTTCCAACTTATCAAAGTTTCAATATGATTAAATATAGCAACCTATATTTCTTTACAGATTGGACTAAATATTTTGTTATTTATACAATTTATTCACAAGGAAGCCAAGTCTGATCGGACGAACTTCTACCAAGTTCTTGTTCCTAGTTCGGTAGGGATGAATGTAACAGCACTGAACAGACCAGTCTATTTTTCATGCTGTGTATGCAAAATCATCATGTAAATTTGTAGTAGGTTAACAACATCTTGTGTCACTTACGTAGTTTAAAGTCATATTTTTAGTACATCTAATGTATATTATATATTAAGTGATAGAAAAATAATTCAACAGGTTACTTCTGTTGGCTAACGTAAATTTCGTTTATGTATTTTTTGCATGACTACGTCCTAGTGGTAGTTTCATATTTTCTAAAAGTAATTATAGATTGTAGGTTTTCAGGCTCCTCACATGTTAGTTATCTAAAACGTCGTTGTACCTAGTCCCCATTGAAGTGTAGTTCGATGTCATATTAAGGAATTTACTCAATTTTTATCTTTGGATTAATTTCTTCGAACCATTTGATTAAAGTGTATACGAAACTTTTAGACTGAAATTCAGTACTATGGATACCGAATTTAAGTAAAACCCAAGTTATTGGATAATAAAATTGAATTTTCCTAATTCTTACCACATATACAACTCTTAGCCCGCGTTGGTTCATGACATTTTTCAGTACTTTAATATATCTACTTAGCACATATATGTCGCCAAATCAAAGTTCAGCGAGCTAATATATTTTTAATCTTTCGTCTTTTTTTAGATACCTAAAACAGGGACAAAAAATAACGAAAATTTGAAGTCACTAGTTGTTGGATCAAAACTGACATGCCGTTTAACTGATCATGACTTTTTAGAGAACGTAGCTGTAGCTACAACAAACAAGTATGGGATTATGTTGGTATGATTATAATTTCCTATTTTAGTAGGATTTACTTTTCGTAGTGTTCCTAGGATAATGCGACTCTTTTATACTGAGGTGTATAGTTTGTATGATATGATTTTGTCTTGTTATTCTTTCTGTGTATGTACATAGAAAGTGGAAATCTTTATTAAGTATATGAATACTTACAAAAGTACCCTAAACCGTGAATTTTCACCACTGAGTTATTAATTTTGATAAAGTATCTCGGTTTTGTCGGTTAGTGTGTATATGCATAAAATCCTACTTAGTTTTATCGAAAGAATAATGTTAAAAGTTTTGATGTGAAGAAATCTCAGCAAAACTTTATTAATTAGTGAGTCCTCATTTATAGTAAAGCAAGTTTCAAGTTACATGTCTATTTTTCTTTGTAAACATGCTTTTCTTTTCTCATTTAATCAAATAGTTTATAATAAAAGTTTTATTCGGGCGCAACTAGTCTGATCTTGAGTTGGTTAAATCTATGTTTGCTTGCTCTATAAATTGTCGAAATCTTTGTCTTATTTTCCATCGACTATGGTTTTTTCAGACTGAACCACACACCACATTAGATGGTCATTTAATAGGTGGTTAGAGCTTTTCTTAACATTTGTGTATGTTTTGCGTGTAATTTCTGGTTTATCAAATGACCCAAGTGGTAGAATGGATTTTAAGTCATTTATGAACTTCCTCCATCAAGTTATCATGATCGAAATCATTTATAGTTTTTAATCCAAGCTATTATGATTAATTTAACTTCATTTTGAGAAATGGTTGTTCTGTATGTTATAAGCAATGCCGTATTGTTTGGTGCAGCAAGCTTTCAACTATTTCCCTTTTTACCTATTTCGGTTTTTTACAGCCGTTACCACTACCCGTCACACTAAAGGACGGTGACTCAAGACTGCATACGTAAACTTAAACTTGCTGACTGAGTTGTGTTGTCTTGTGAGTAGGCTTACAGTAGGTAAATATGTATATATATATATATATATATACCAAAAAACTTGTGTAACATGTAAATCTTAGTATGCGTTGTCTTTTACTATTTTGCCGATATCGGTTTAGGCGCTACAGCGATATCCTAGCGCACACACAAATTTTATTATGTGTAGCTCATACTGTTTTTGATGCTTAGTTGTAGCAGATTTTATGTGAATCAAATAAATAGACGGTTTGGATGTCTACACATATTCATCCATGTCACATTTGAATCATCACTCCTATAAAATTTGAATAACGTGTCACACTAAAAGATACAATTTTAGGTTTGTGGTTCTCCGAACGGTTACGTTAGTTTCATCACGTCTAGTTTCTTTGTGAGCCATTCGTGTGATAATATGTTGGCCAGTGATATTTTACCAGGTTTGTACTTCAGTGGCTTAGGCGCTTGGTTAAAAGCACTTAGTCACAGACCAAAATTATTGTGGTTTCTGATATTACTGTTTACTGAATTTGTTTCTATATAGGCCCAATATTAATAAACTTACGTGAGGTTAGTACCTTAGGTAGGTAGTAACAAGTAATAGTGTGATTAGATATATGTTTCGCTAATTTGGATATAACCATATGACAAAGCTCGCAGTATCTACAGTTTTTTTTATTTCTTAAAACTAATCACTAGATAAGTAAAAGTAGAAGCGCTAATAATTATGGTTTTTGTTTTTAGTAGGATTTCGCTTTGCTATAGATTATTTATAGACTATCTATTTTTAGAAGGTTCGGGACCCACTCCACTTACTTTGGTCTGAGCAACCAAGTAGTATAATTCATCCTGACACTTGGTATGACTCACACTAAGTATCTGGTGAATGTGCTGATTTAAAATGTTTTCATAGAATGGGATTTTATTTATTTTCGTCATGTAAGGTGGATTAAAATTTTATTCTATATTCCTGTTTCTCAAACACTTTATACTAAACTATTATCACTTTCAGGAAACTGTTGAGTGTACCGTTTTTGTCTCTTCATGAACTGAAACCTGGGGATAACGTTTCGGTAAGTACTTCCCAACGTTATTATCTGTATTTGATAAATATAGCTTTTTCTAAGCATACATAACCACAATGTAGTTGAGAATAGCTTCTGCCATTGATTTTATCGGATATATGTTGATTTGAATCAACTGATAGAAATTCACTGAAAGTATATTTTCATACAAAGTTTTGCCAATAGGCACCTTATGTCTGATAGAAATTGAACGTTCGAAATGAATTTAAGATAGTAAGTTATGCTTTGAATGCGCAGAAAAGAAATGGTTTAGCAAATGAATGTCAAATCATAGGGCGATTTGTTACTTTTCCAGTGATATTGTGTCATAAAAGTGATCGAATATTTGTTCCAAAGGGTTAATCATAAACTTGTATCAATTAGTAGAAAAATTCTAAAATCTTAGGAGTATTGTGCAGAACTTTTCTCTTACCTTGAGATTCTTCACTCTAGATATCACAGTGAACACATTAATAATTGGGTAACAGGTGTGAACTTTGTCCAGCGTGATGTTTTAAGGTCAATATTTTTTTATCGATTCGGTATAAACTTCGTTTATATGACAACTGTGAACTTCCGTTCATTGTGACAGTTATATTCCCTGTATCAATTTAGATGAACTGTACTCAGAGTGTTTTTACGGTAATCATATGTACTTCCCACTATATGTGGTATTATAGTGTATGAAAATTCGTATACAAATGATTGTATTTCGGTGTTCGGTGACGTGTTTTGGACAGCCAGTAAATCTCCATTGCACCAGTCTCACTAATTACAATGGAATAATGACCCATGGTTAAGCTATTCGACTTTTAATAATTGTATTGCATGTTCGAATCCTAATTTTTTCTAATACTTTTGCTACTCTGGAATTAGTCTTTATCTCTCTGTACTAATATGGTATGGCATTTCGAACCAATTCACGTGTGTATCAGGTTCTACGTTACGTATGACTGACTAAAATTCTGCCTATTATTTATATATTTAAGCACAAACTTTGGTAGGTAAAGGTACTAAATATATATGCGCCACACAAATTCAATTTGTGTGAGGGCTGAAATACTGCCCGGGCGCCCAAAACAATGGTGGTTTTCTTAGGGGGTCACTTCCCTAGCCTTTGACCGACAAGGCAGTAGAACAACGTTAGAAGACGTAGTCCCATAGCTGGTGACCAATAATAGGTTCGTAAGCCATTCGTTCCATCAGGATCCTGCAGCCCATGTACACTATTGGTTTGGAATCAGGCTTTTCCAACTCCCGTAGGTTGATCCTCCATATCCATCAACCCAGTCCTCTCAATTTTGTAAACAACACCCCTGCCACAGGAAGATAGTGAGTAGGACTTCCCTTGCAGTGGTTGTATGCACGTGGCCATGTGAGAGCTTTTCGAGAGGGAGAGGGGGCCTCCTCACCCTCGGACATCTGTTAACCTAGGTAGTGAAGTAGTATTGTGATGTGCACTACTTGTGCGGATAGACATAAGCAGTATATAGTAGGCATTGAAAGTAGCATGTTTACGAACAGAAAAGTGAAATAAAAAAAGAACGGAAAACGAAGAGCAATCGGAATAACATCAGGATTGGAAGAATCTTGAAGTATGTGAAGGATTAATTAAGGAAGATATGCAAATGGTATATTTAATGCATGATTTCCATATTTTACAAAGTTGCTGTTTGAGGTTGCATATAACAACAATTTGGTATTCCGCACCTGACTTTTTATTCACTACATTATCGCCGGCCTGTGGACCGAAAAGTTTGACTCAAAGCTGAGTACATGGTCCAATCAGTTAGTTACTTGTAACTTATTAAGCCGATAAATCTCTTTTATTTATTCGTCTTTCAATAGTGTTGATTGGTTACTGTCAGTCTTCATTTCATAACTCATTTTAACCGCAAAATGTTAATACCGGTTTTCATTTGGTTTTAAGTAAACCATATCCTTACTTAAAGTTAGTTAACTTTTTGATTAACTTCATTGGATCAAGATGGCGTTTTTTCCAGTAAGACTAATTAAATATGTAGTGTTACGTGGATTATGCAATTAAAGAATGTTGGTGAAGTGAATAGCACCAATATCTTGTTAGATTTTAATTCATATTTCCAATATATATATATATATATATATATATATATATATATATATATATATATATATATATAATTGTTTTTTTTACATCTATAGGCTACCGTTAAGCGTTATTCAAAAACTGGTATTGTCGTCCATCTAGAAGGTCGACTTCATGGACTTATACCGTATCTACACACAACTGATATTAATCTTAAGGATCATAGAGAGAAATTTAAAGCAGGAGAAAAAATTTCTTGTTTAGTAAGTTTATTGTTTATTTACGTTTTATTCTTGTAAATTTTTGTTGCCCTTATGTATATATATATTTCTAATTAAAAGTGGTTAGACCTTGTTATTCAAGCGCTATATAGATTACAATGCATATAAGTGTCTTTGTCTAAACGGTTACCATATTTTATATGCATTCAGATTTGCTGCATAGATTAAATCAGTCGTGAACATACAATTCAACAATTAAAATTCTTGCACCTAATAAATTAATTACATCAGGATGCAGTCGAATTAACTAGAAATAAATCCTGATATCTTCGGATGCAACGCTTTACAATGTACAGTAAAAAATAAAAATAAGGAATAAATCAGTGACTTGACGAATCAACTTCCACACATAACAATGGTATCACTTCTGATGTGAAATGATTCCCCGTATTGCTGATACATGTATGTAGGCTTTAATTTTGATTAAATCTATCTTTTCGAGTTGTTTCTGGAACCCCGTTGAAGAGAGTCACGGGTTACTGAGAGATTCTACTAATTTACAATAATATCACACTTCTATTTCGTAAATGGATTTCTAAAACCAAGATCGTTGTGTGATCACGGGAGATGATATTTGTAAAGCGTCTCCAATTTATATCTCGTGTCTCAGATCAGTTGTCTAATTAAAAATTGCTTTCCACCATGCTCAGATATGATTCGAGATTTCAGCATCGTTCAAATATTACCTCTGAATGTAACGTCTCAGTGAAAAGGATCATGAAGTTCTGGTTCGTGGAAAATTTCCACTTCAGAATAGTTTGGTTTTGAAAACCCTGTACATTCACCTAAGTTTTGCAATAAGTATCGGTTGTCTCACAATCAAATTAAAGGTTACACACATTAACATATACTGCTTCGGCTACAATAATATTTCAATATTGCTGTCACATACAATCCTACTAATATCCAATTACTTGAACGTTTATATTTATCAGGTAGTTACTATTGATGATGAGCTTAAGATCTTGCCAAACTTTTAAAATATACTTTCTTCATAGGTCATTCAAAATATATGTTCATCAACTTTATCTGTTTTTGTATATATCGTATATTATTTACTGATGAAATAATATCATTTCCTCAGTGTAATTTACCCTTTTTCTTTTTAACAGATATAGATCATTAATGCATCTATAGATAAGTTTTAGAACCGCTAGAAAATCTTTGTTGCTATGTAAGTTAGGTATCAATCATAAGTGGTCGTGAGTGACCTGTTGACCGAATTTTTTTTCTGGTTTTTAATCAGGTGATTTATCTTCGCTTCATCCACAACCTGTTAACTGGTTTTGGAGAGAAATTAATGTACGATAGTTTCAAGCTAATTGTTCACTTTCCTCTTTGTTGTACCTTAGGTTTTACAACTTGACAAATGTGCCAATAAATTGATTTTAACCGCGAAACCAGGCTTATTAAATACTGAACTCCCAATATTTGGCAGTCACGAAATGTATTCTGCACTGAAAAATGGCAATAAAAACCAACTATTGATTGTAGGGTTCATTGTCAAGGTTAGCGATAAAGGCTTACTCGTTTCTGGTTTGGATAATATTCGTGGATGGATACCTAGACGTGAAACTGGACTAGCTGATGAAGATATTTTACAGACAAACTTTTATCGTGGACAGGTACTGAAGATGAAATTTAAACGTGAGATTAATACTACATCCGAAAATAAAGTAGAAAAAGATAGTCAAAGCATACGTTCAAAGTATATGCTTTCTTTAAAGGTACATTTTATTGTTTTATTTGTGAATTTTTCTTAGCGTAAATATAAATGGATGTCATCACTGACATATATCTATGTACGTGATTATAAACTGCCTGTAGTATTTGAATAAATTGTGTCATTAAATTACATGAATAGGACGATATAGAGCTTAATATATGTTCTTGATAAATAGTTTGAAATTATCACCCAACATTGATTCATCAAATAACGGAAAACGCAAATATTTCTTACAGAATAATTGAACATTTCCATACACTTATCACTAGTATTATATCAACAATCAGTGTAAAAATACTCGCCTGTACCATTGATAATTGATTTTTTTCTGCTTTTAATATAGATAAACGGAATACACCTATTAAGACATTAAATAAGAAAATGAGTTCGCCGAAAAGATAACTCTCCTCTGGACTGATCTTTTTTATTTAATTCAATATAGATGTTTATAAACAACAATCCTTATCTACACTCTTTGTAAAATGTTATGAAGAATTAAAAAAAGTTGTGACATGACAACGTTTGTAACTGATATTTATCTCTCTTAAATAAAATCATGTGTGGATTTTACCGAAATCTATATCAGTATTACTCTAGATAACCAAATATATCGGTCTATTTATGTCAGTAGGTTCTGCATTTAAGTTGATATCAAACGAATCCAGAGAGCTTTTCTGACCTAACTACAACTAAAATAAATGTAATGATATTCATAAATAAATCATATAGCTACTCGTTCTCATAACGATATACAGATATTTTAACAAAATATCAAAGACCATTTAGTTTTACTAGTGTTTAGCTTGAAATGTTTGTGACAAATGGCCTAACTGTTTTTCGTAATTTTCGAAGATTAATGATAATTTAACTCGTAAAATAGGATGATGCAATTAGCTAAATGAGATTCATCTTTGTTTAATTCTAGTTCCATTCTAAGGAAACTAAAAACACACAGTCGATATTTTTGAACTCCGTGCAAATTGGTCAGGTAAGCCTATTGTTTTTCAAAACAGGATATCTTTATCGTTTTTAATAGTTGATGGTCCTGTTTCAAATGCTAAGATGCCTTCTTTTTGACTAGGAATCATCTTGATTAACAGTTGGAAAAGTGTTTATTTACATATGCCACTGCGGAGTACCAACTCATTTCTACGTACTAACTTAGCTTTTTCGAAACAGGACTAAAAATGGTTTAATATTATTTTTAAAAAGTCCAAAATTAAGAACTCGAACAACACTACAAACATCATTATTGCATTCAAACTTCCTTAGGACATCTATTTAATATGACATTCTACTAAGATATAACATTTTCATCTTACCTACAAATACATATGTAGACTACCTATTTTGTTTCCTCGTGATTATCATTACCAAAATTTTGAGGCTAGGTGATATGCCTCAGAATTATTCATATTCGCCTAGGTGCATTTACTCTTCGTTTTTCCCTAAAAGCTGAGTTCTGAAGTCTCCTTACACTTTCCTGTACATATTATTTTCGATAACTACTCATACCGTTACTACTTGTACTACTTTGAGTCTAATCTTGATAATTTTATCTCGGTATGCTAATGTGGTATGGTAAATTAAACCGATTCACTTGTGTGTCAGGTTCTACTTTGCACGTGAACTGACTGACAACCATTCCGAAAACAAAATGACAAAACGATAAAGAAATTGACAGTTAGCAGTCAGTTTTGATGAGTATTATGCTTTATGTATTCTCTTTATAAGTAAACTATTGTTATGTCTGTTGTTCTACGCTCAGTTATATGATGTTGAAGAAAATTGTCGGTGATTGTAGATACAAAAAAAATTTACATTGGTTTTTGTTTGATTTTTCTATGTAGGACATTGCAAAGTGAAAATAACGGTTATGTCTAAACTTTACATCATGAAATTAAGTTTAAACTTATAACCTAAGTAGAGTGTTCAAACTACAGAGTGACAACTGAAGTTATTTCTGTTCAAAGGATCAATTCATTTCAAATTAACTAGGGCTAACGTACCTGATAACTCATTTATTTTTCACTAACTTTGATTTGAATCTCGACTTACCACTAAATAAAAGTCCCTAAATATACCGATGCCTTTTAATCTATGAACACTCTACCCCATGAATATTTAATCTCTACTTAGCGCTTGATGTGGTGAAGTTTCGAAAATAAATTAAATTAACGTTGGTTTAAATGTTAGTAAGTAAATTTTAGTGATTTCAAGCATCCTCCGATATTATGGGTTTCCATTTTCTTTCCTGATCCATTTGATTAAGCTCTAGATATATTACATACGCAGTGGTACCTAAAACAGTTCACTTCTTTCAATAATAATTGTCAATATTTTGCTCACCGGAAGGCTTTTTATATATAACGATGTCGATATTTCACTATCTATCAACAACTATTGTCTCATTTAATTGGATTGTTAGCTTTTCAGGGCTACTGTAAATCAAGTACAAGACACTGGAATATCGCTTAACCTTTATGACAATAAAAACATCAATAATACTGTCACACCTGTGCTTGGTACAGGATTTTTGTCATTTAGTCAATTATCTGATTATGAATCAAATCAACAACTTCTAAGTCGATATGTAAAAAATATAAAACCTGGTTCTACACTTGATTGGGATCATTCTGCGCGTGATGTAGTCGTTATCGATAAGGGAAAACAAACTGTCATTTTATCTGCTAGACCAACACTAATTCAAGCAGCTAGTGATTTGAAAACAAATACTAATATTGATATTGATATAGTAGATTCAGAAGCATCTGACAAAAGGCCTGGTTTCTTAAGAAGGTTTGATGAATTACAAGTAAGTCGTGTTTTGTATACTCCATACATTTTATTTGTCAGTTACTACGATACCTAAGTTTCGTCAACTGTCTCTTTTTCTCATGATATATCAGGTTATTGTGCATTTAAAACTGTGTACCTGGAGTCGTTTATGATTATTTATTAACTGTTGAGGTTACTATTTCTTTTATCAACTCATCAAGATGAGCGAAAAAACAGATAAATATGAGGTGTAATACGAAAATTATATGTGTTTAGTGCAGAAATAGTATATAACTTAACATTTATATCAAGTTAAAAAGAAAACTTGCTTTTGTAAAGACCATTAACGTGGTCTTATCTTAATCTATCAAAAATGTTTTAAAACAATTCAAATGATAGTGGTTCTCCTCAGCTGCTTAATTTAAGTTATATTTTTTACTAATGCTACTTTTGAAATGATTACGAGTTGATCTAATCTGAGAACTCGACAAAATCTGTGACCAAAGACCAATAAGCTAGGTATTCAGATGCTTCCCAGTCCCACTAACTAGAGAGAGAAGTTCAAGTTCGAAATGGGGAAATATATTCCGCAAGCAGCCATGAGCACGAGCAATCACATCAGGCACAAACCAAACGTATATGTACAGCATAAGATTATCCTTGGGAAGCATTGCAAAATGGCGTACTAAAATATACATCGAACTAATCGCGTCTAAGGTGATCTCAAGTGAGAAATACAACATGCTGAAAATGAGCGCGTCTGGCACGAAAACAAGAGATTCTAATTTTTAAAATAAAATTACAAAAATAACGTATTTACCAAGTGAGTTCTGGGAACCTAACATCCCCAAAAACCTACTAATTCTCAGTCAAAATACCTGCAGTTGTTATTTGACTTCTGGTATAATTCTCTCTTACGGTTATAACCCAGCTATTCCTATTGCTTAGTATTCTCGACACCAATTCACTTGATAAGTCCCTAAATCAGAACACAGTTGAACAGGAAAGAGATTATATTCCAAATAACAAGGTTAGATGGAAGTAAGAAGCACAATAGGAAAAACGTTAGTATATTTATAGTTTTTCATGAGAAGATTTCTGGAGTGTTCTCCAAGTATCAACTATCGCTGGTTGGCTAATTCTTAGCCAATCAGCGTGCAGCAAAGCAATCGTGCACTGAGCATGCTTCAATCCAATATATGTCCTGCTAACGACTTCATAGACCGAAATCGCCTTTTTCTTTCACCACATTTTCCAAATATTACTTTTTGTTCTCTACATTCTTGTTTTGAATAGGTTGGTAGTCAGTGGTTTGCTTGGGTTTCACATCACAAGGACTATGGTGTATTTGTTCACTTTCCTGCTGGAATATATGGTTTGGCACCGAAGCATCTTTTATCCGACTTTCGTGCTCAATCTAATACAAGCTGGAGTGAATTGTATCCAGTTGGTGCAACCGTAATTACCAAGATCGTTGAAGTTACTCCTGAAAAACGGCATTGTTTGATAAGCTTGAAAATGTTTGATATATACAATGCTAAAGAATATTATGTTGGTGAGGCGATACACTCATTAAACTACTATTTAACTGAAAGGGAATGGATTTCGCAGAAACGTAAGGAATTTATTTCATAAACCACTAAAAAATTAAAGGGAGTATATAATAACATATATTCTGAAACTAATAATTAGGGATGTAAATAATAATATTAAATGTAAAGGACGTATGTGGTATTAAATTGTTTGAAGTATTGTTCAAATTTTTTTCAGTAGTACATTTCTCACATGTTTGCAGTAATAAAGGGCGTCATCCGGTAACTACTAATTCGTTTTAAGTGGACATCCTGTTGATATATGCATGGTGTATTTAAGGTCATTTCCAGTGCCATAACAGATTGATTATTGTCATCTAGAACTAGAGAAAATAAAATGGAAACAGAAACCACTGGACAATAAAAGGCCAGCCAATTAATCACCCAGGTCTTCTATAATACATGTAGCATGTTATTTCAAGATCTACTGTTCGGGTTAAATATTATTAAAATTAGTTAAGGTTAACAGTAACCACGTTAGTGTATAGTACCTTCAGGTAGTGAGGTGTAATTGAAAAGGTCAGTGGTATAACCAATCGAGATCCTATAATCTCACTTGTGGAATGAAATATACTTACAGATGTAAGCACATTTAAATAAGCATTCCCACAGCGAACAAAGGATGGAGATGATTTTATCTCACGAACAGATTATGGTAAAGTATTCTAGACTTTCGAAAATTTACTGGTAAAGTAATTCATATGGATAGATTTAGAATGAGTTTGTCCCACTAGTGACAAAGAGTTATAGATGCTGTAACTAGGAGTTTCTGCATATTGAATTACTTCATTGGATGTAAAAGATATTTTATTAATTATTTTGGAGAAAAAAGTCAGATTTAGTGTCCTCTTCCATAAACGGTCGAGTCCAAATTTATTCTGAATTTGTAATTTAAGGTATATATATATATATTCCTAATCATATTTAACCCCATTCTATCATTGAATATACCTTTCTATCATTCTTTTTAAGCGAATTTCTTATTCATTTATTTAATTCACCCGATATCTTAGACGAACTATTAGGTTCTTTTCGTATTGGTGATCGTGTTCATTTCAAAGTTGAAGAAGTGGAAAATTCTGTAATTTTTGGTAAGGCAAGTAAACTATCAGAGAAAAATCCCACTAAGCAACACACATGGGTGCCAGCTATGGTGTATGTGGCAAATTCAAATAATACGGATTGTTTAGTTTCTCAGACGTACTCAGGTATTGTATGCTTTATTGATCATGAGCAATCACGGTTGGAAATTGTCTTATCCTCCTGGTTGATGAACAGTATAAATACAAGAAAAGAGAATATATCTAGTTGTTTAAAAGAAAAACAACAAATATCATCTGTTGTACTAGCATGTCGAAATCGTGACATAGTTGTTCTTGGTTTACGTGGTCATGCAGCTGGGCTGTTAGGTGTTGTACCAGCAAGACGTACATTCAATGATGTAGTGGGTGGGAATGCTTGGGTTGTTGGTCAACGAAATAAAATAACTTTTAGACAGTGAGTAAATCTTTAATGTACATGTCTATGTCAACATTTTTCAATGTTTTAGATACTTTTACGAAAATGGTTATCATTTTCATAGGTTACTGGAAAATTGTGATGAGTTTTTTTTGAATGTTCATAACTATCCCAGAAATTTAAAACACAAAATTCATTGATGCTCGCAACTCACTTTCTGAACTATTTCCATAGTACATTCACTAGTCATTTTCAGTATGTTATTAGGTTGCCGAGTAACTGTGTATAAATAAAATGAATGTTATCTGACTAACAATGTGAAATTATTCTATTTTTATTTGGTCGGAATCGGAAGCATTGTGCATGAAAGTATTTCAAAATTTTGGATCACCTATTTTTTGGAAAAAAAATCCAATCAAATAAAACTCTCCTTTAATCCATTATATAAAAATTTATTTAATAGACGCTTAGATAATTAGATTAACAGAAATGTTTAACACTATCATCCGCTTCGTTTGGTAATTTGAAATAAGAAACTCAGTAAACTTGATGGTTATATTTTCCACCATACCTTATCCTACTTATAAGTAGTAAAAATATGTACTTAATAATTTTGTTTTACCGGCGAACAACCTTTTAAATAAAATAAAATATATATTCAATATTTACTTTACTAATAATACCGAGATGCTTGGTGAATTTATACTCACACATTAAATGGTTTTCATATCTGAACACAGCAGTAGAAGACGAATAAGGACTAACCTTCATTGATCAGAAACTTACTAATGAAATCATAACTACAAATCATTGCTTCTCTGCAATTTATGATTAGTTTAACACTTTCTGAGCTAATAATGGTATTTTCGTAATAACTATTGTACTAGATGTGCACATTTTATTCATTTTAAAACGATTTTCTTATTCCCTTTAACTTCTGTCCAACTTATTTGGGCTACTAGAAATATAAGTATGGTTTCAGGAAAACACTGAATTTTATTAGTTCCTTATTGACAATCTTTGGAGGATCCTTTAATTCTTTAATGAACATTTTAATGAACAAGTCAACTGATTTTTAGTAGGTTTGCGTGAACAAAAGGAATCGCAGGTTCTACATTGTGTATGACTAACTGACTGACTCATTAGGTTTTCATAGAATGACTTGACGTGTTCTTAATTATTTATTTGATTATATAAATATTGTTACAAAAAGGCGTCAAACACATATGCGCCCCACAAGTCATTTTATTTGTATATGGGCTATGATACTCCCCGGGGGCCCAATCCGAAGCAAGTGGATTTTTTAGAGGACCACGCCCGGAGCCTTCGACATAAAGGTCTGATCCAGAAGGCAGTGGAACAACGTCAGGAGATGCAGTCCCATGTTAGCCGGTGACCAACAATATGTCCATATGCCTTTTATTCCCTCAGGATCCTGGTACCCACGTGCACCATTTGTTTGGAATCAAGGTTTTCCAACTCCCATAGGTAGACTCTCCATATCCACCAACCCGGTTAAAGCGCCGGACATTCGCTTTTGTCATCTCAATTTCGTAAATAACACCCCCATCGCGAGAAGGTAGTGAGTAGAACTTCTCTGGCAGTGGTTGTATGCATGTGGCCATGTGAGAGCAATTGGAGAATGAGAGCCGGCTCTCTTCATCCGCGGCCGTACCAGTGGATTTTGTCGCAAGCGGTTAACTATTGTCTCTCAATAATTGCTTACCTCCAACTATAATCTATGATATTAACGTGCTTAGTATGTTTTTTTCAGAAGTATGTTATGTATTATACAATTCGTTCTACTAGTTATTTTTTTTATCGGGAGCAAATTTTCTACATGGCAAATATTTACATAATTTAATTAGCCGTACTAAATAAATTGATCAGTATGGCTTAATTGAAACCAATGAAAATGAAGTCCACTATTATTTGTGAATTTGTTTATTTTTATTAAGAATACATGATATATATGACTTTTCCAAAAAAAACTCTTATTTCTTTATTAATTTAATTACACTGGTTTGAACCGAATTAAATGGATATCATCTTGTTTATTTTTTGTACTTAACTGATTGGAGCACGAAACTGTATATATATTTTGACAATGAAATGTTACCTAGATTGTAAGCAAGATGACAAGAATTCTGTGAAAAAAATGAATTTACATTATTATTCCACTTCAAGTGATATTTTTACATTGTGTTTTTACTTATCTACTAATGTAATGTCAGTTAGGTTTATTCAATCCATTTAGCCAGGTGTTTACATTGTTTTTATATTTGTACGTCTAACAAAGCTATTTATATAATATTTGGTACCCAGTCGTTTGAATGAAGTTAGTACGAATTATTAGCCTGAATGGAAATCAAGCTATATATCAATTGCAATGACAGTTCTCAATCTTTTCATTATTAGATCATTCCAACAAGAAAACAGTTCAACGAAGTTACAATTGTGTACTTTAACAATTTATGATCCAATTGAAGATAATCAGATGAAGACTACTTCAGAGATACAAAATAACTCAAACAGTATAACTAATGAAGAAAACATTAGTGGCATATTAAATAAATCAAGTCTCATTAATTTTCAAGCAGGTCAACAAATTTCTGATCTCTACTTTGTTAGTATTTCTTCTCAAACAGCATTTTTCGCTGTTGGCTCAATTAAAGGTCCACATGTATATTGTCATTTGATCAATTGGGATAATACTGTTAAATCTATCAGGGCATTTTCAAGTCATCCACCTGAGGCTGGTACAAAAATTGAAAGGATTGCAACCGTTTTATTCTCTTACCTTGATGATAAACTAATTCTTAAACGTAAAAATACAGGATTTCGTTCGAAAATCTCAGAAATCACTTTCCTTGGTAAGTATACTATGTCTACTTTTTCACCCTAATTAATCAAATATATATTATGTATGATTTGTTGTTTATTTTTTGTAAATTTAGAACAACATGTATAAGCGAACAATATTGTTTTCGATTAGATCCTCATCAGGCTATTGTTATCTCAGTTTCTATATTTTTATAATCATTGACCTATTTCAGATTATGTAACATTGATTTGAACCTTTATTATTCTTATCAAACCTAGTACACCTGTCATCACACTAGTAATTTGTACTTTTCACATTTTACATATTATGTAATCGTTTTCATTGTTATCATTGACTTATAAACTACCTTGATTGGTTTAATAATTTCGTATATGCATATAAATATTACTGTATATTAGAGTAAAGCTTGATGAGGATCTAATCGAAAACAATATTGTTCGCTTATATATGTTGTTCTAAGTTTATTTATTGGTTTAACATTCTATAAAATCCTCAACTATTCATTTTGTTTATAATTAATGTGTATATAATTAATACCAACGGACTAAGGGAACGATTACGTAAATTTTAGTTCATGTTGATCTAACTAACAAGGTGTACCGGTATTACAAATAGATTAACTAACAGGGAAAATAGTATAAGGTATGGTACAACTAAGACCACTACTTAAAATGATTTCATTAGCAGATTCAAACATTGTCTTTGATTGTCTCACAGATTGTTTGTATAGTTTTTAATTTGATAAAATACGACATCAGAGATGGGTTCTCACCATGTTATGACTTTCATATCGCCTTAACATATGGCGAAGAATATATAGTTATTGTGGGAGCCTTGTCAAATATTCTCTCATTCGAAATGTCTGAACCTTTACTTTTTGTTAATATCTGTGTTCAGACGTCAATAAATTTCACAAAGTATTTTCTTTTGATAGTTTTTAATGTTTTCAGTCAAAAGATATTACAATTCTATGCATTATCTGTTCACTAATTCAAACAATCCTTATCTTATTCTGGATATAACGTTGAAGGTCACAACTTTTCAGAAATGTAGAGATTATGTTTTCCGTTTTGCAAGTATTTTTTTCTCCAAAATTTGTTTGGTGCTTCCTAAATGGCTCTTACCTCAATTGACCTTAGTGTTCTCCCATTGTTCTACTTTTTCCTACTGTAGATTTTGTTCATCTTTTTCTATTTATCACACAAAGGCAATATTACACATAGGACACATACTTTAGCATGTAACCTTATGACTCATCTATATTTGTTTATAGTTTTTATTTTGGACTAAAGTACAAAATATAGTCGACATTTTATTTAGGTTTTTTTTTTATTCTAAAGGTTTAACAATTAACTAGATTAATGACCTTCATACCATATTTGTGTTTGTATCTAAATAAGTTGTGCATTATCTTGTAGTTTACAATTTCCATATTCAATGTTAATGTTCGTCGGTTTGTACATATTATAGTGTAGAGTTGATTTGAACTTGAAAAAAAAATAAAGAAATGTCTTCTTTTGTAGAAGATCTTTGAGTTTATTGTTCTACAAAAGATTTTCCTTTTAAACAACATTCTGTTTATTATCAGTAAACTTATCTGGATATGAAATTTCCGAAATTAAGTATGCAACTGTAATTTATAAGTTTCATATAATACATTCTTAGCATGGATAATATCTGAACAAGTGTGGTTGAAGCGAGAACTATCATTCCGTAAACCATTGTAGAAGGAAGTAGAGATTTTCGGTGTTAAAATTGCTCAAACGAAATAAAAATGCGTCAATATTATAAAGGAAGATGACACAAAATTTTCCATTGTTAAAATCAGTAAGTGGAATGTGAATTGTTAAATGAACACAATGATATGATGTGATTAGAGGTGATGTCTACTCACGAGATCAAAGTACTGGCTACAAGACTAATTTATGAACTAGGTAATCAGATTAAAGAAAGTGACTCTTGTATTTTGGCGCGTAATTCATCCCTTCATGCAGTCAGATAACACTTTGGCCTTACAACCACTGTCATTTTGTAATGAAAACGCCAAATCTAAGTTCTAACTTCTACTCTTAGTTTCAATTCCTCACATTAATTCATGGCTTTATTTCGATCCTAGTAAGTGGTCGACATTTTCAAGGCTACTTTAGTAGCTCTGAAAGTTCGTCCATAAAATATGGTCTGGCCAGCAGAATAAACACCATCACTTATCATAAGCGATTGGTGATAATAAGCTTGTACAGTACTCATTACTCAATCAATTAAAGCCTGACTGCTAGACTTAATCTTCCGCATTGCATCAGTTATCAGTGTACATTTTGGAGGGAGTTTGATTACAGTTTCTATACAAGTAATTATCTGTTAGTTTACCTTCACTATAAATTATTATATACCTTAAAGTGAATTATAATATAGATCTGATTGACTCATGTCACTGTGTGGAAGTATTCATCTTCTGACATTGGTTTCGTTTTGTTGTGTTCAATGTTTTGTTTCTTTTGATTTTCCAATATAAGTTCGTTAAAGAGTTTTATAGTGAACATCATCTTGAAAAAATTTATTTATCTACTAAATGAATTTAATCCATAACATTTCCGAGGTGATTAATTACCCTACTATTAATTAAATCGAAAACACTTAGTCATACTCCACTTACTTTTATTTCAACAGCTAATTGTATTATTTTTTATAGTTCACTATCTCACAACTTGATAGGCCAAACGGTCACTGTTATTTATGGGTTACTAGAGTTGTTTATTGTGGCTTTTTAATTACAATGATCGATTATTATCCCTATTTATGGTAATAATATGCTTTTTCATAATCTCATAGATAAACCCAAAGTATCCGTTGGACAGGTAGTCTGCGCACAGGTATCCCGTTTAAAATCCGACTATTGGACTGTATTTCTACCTGGTCGTGCTAGTGGACGTTTGCATGTTACTGATATGAATTATTCAGATTTAGATGTTAAGCCATTGGATTTAACTGAAACGTCTAATGATTCTGCGTTATCGTCTTCATCATCAAGAATTTTTAATATTCATGAAAACTCGAACCAAATAAAAGCACATTATTTCATTACTTGTCGAATTGTGGATCAATGCCAAAATGTCAATACGAATTCTGATGATATCTTTGATACCAACGATACCAATGAAGTTATATATTTCGTCTCTAATAAAGTTAAACTCTTGTAAGTATATTAGTATTTTTCTTATAAGATAGTTTTGTATAAATATTTGCAACGCTTCCTTAACAGAAAAAGCTCATTTGTCCGGTACTTGATTATAAGCCACACTAGGTTTAACTGTAAAGTACAATGTTTTCAAAAACACATGATGAAGAGTGCCGAGTACTTTTTCTAAAAATTTGTAAGGCATGTTTTTGGCATTTAAAATTTATTGAAAGTTTGAAATCCACCAAACAGTTCTCAAACATGTTTAAAACATCCCTCTAAATAGAATTATCCCCTAGTTCGAAACCGATACGAGATAACGTGAGTAGGGTAGTAAAAATAATAACTTGTTATCAAATTTAAAGAATTACAGTATCTGTTGAAACTAGACTATTCTTTAGACATTTAGAAAACTACTTTTTTATTCGTCATAGGGTAGATGGACAGAGAGTGAATCGAACATAATTCACATAATTTAAAATGTTATTTCTCATTTCAGTGCTCTTCTTTTTTTATATACTCCTTTTCAGTGGTCACTCTTTTGATTGAACATCGTAATTTTTGATCAGTTCAACCATTCATCTTTGTTTGATTTAAACGTCTAGCTGTAGTGTATGCTTTATATATACTTTGGCTTACCCAGGACTAATTTATTGTTGAAATCCAGTTGGAAGCTAGTCACAGTAGTTTCATTTTACTTGACATTCACTATCAACCTATCCTCAGCAATGTATTAATAGTTTATGAAAAAGTTATCATTTCTACATTTAAGTAATATATAGTTTTAAACAATTGATATTCGATTAGACTAAACAAATAATTAAATTATTGGAATAGATTATTTAATTTTGCCAAGTACGATTACGTTGTGTCTTGTGTCGCACACTTTAAATTATGTTCTTTTAAAAATTTCTTTAATTTGTTCGTCAATAGACGAGATCCTGTTGAATCAAACGCTGAACAGCAGTCAGTTAATAAACTACCTGATTTTGATGTACCAGTTGATGGATTTGTTAAGACTGTTCGTCCACATGGACTTGTATTGTGGTAAGTTATTTTAACTGTTGTTCTATGCGATATGAGTATATATATATATATATATATATATATATATATATATATATATATATATATATATATATACTTTGGTAAGAAGTTTGTTTCAATCAAATGTGTCATCGATTTATTAGATGTTTCTGTTTCTCAATAACTCACACTGTAAAACATAGGAAATAAGGTATTTTAAATGCGATTACTTTTACTTTGTTTCATTTATGTAAACAAATTTTGTACTATTTATGTGTCAAATAAAGTAACTAGCAAGAGAAGTGTAAAATAAACATTAGGAAATTCAGTAGTCAAACCAGGCTTCGATAATTTATGTAAACTGATTAGATTTTGATTACCTGTTAACCAAAGTTTCTGGTATATGTTGCATTTACTCACTAACCAACTGGATGTTACCATCAGAAAAAGATGAAAGTAGGGGAAATTTTAAGACTTTTCTCCTAATGCTTGAATGTAGCCCATGATGTCACCTGTTGTTGTGGGGCTCATGTAGACATAGAAAATCAGAAATCTTCTTTTAGATAGTCAATGCATTCAATTAATATTTCCAATTTAAACATAATTTGTTTAAATTCTTAGTTTTGAGTTTTCATCTGATTATAGTTGATTAGTAATTTCTTAGACTATCACGTAAAATTACTTATAAGTAAGGTTATTTAAATTTATTTGATGGAAACTATTTAGTCTGAAATGTTTTTCGTAATTTTTAAGGGAATATAGAACCCCTACACATATTTTTAGTTATTTTATAAGTAAGTTTTTACATAGTAATCACATCAACAAACTTATTTATGAACCTCATATTTATTTTCTCAATTTTTTTAATTCTAGTTTATCTCGAACTACGGATATTCTAATTCCATTTCCCCCCAATTTGAAAAATCAACTGAGTATTTGTGGAATCCGGTTTAAAGCTGGTGATCATCTTCTTGTTTGCCCTAAAAGGTGTAGTTATTTTTTGCGTGTCCATTGTAATTTTGTTATGACTGATCGTCAGTTGTTATGACTCTGTCGCCAACTGTTATGTCTGGTCGTCATGTCAGAATCGCTCATTACTTATACTTGTAAACGAAAAACCACAACGCGAAGTATCAACACCAAGATTGGTACAAATGGAGGTTTATTAATCCCAAAAACGACGACCAGACATAACAGTTGGCGACGCAGTCATAACAATTGACGACAGGGATGGGATACATGGGAATAGTTTAACTGTCTTATCTTTGTGTCACTGATTCTTCATTCCGTTCGCCGATTTTTTGACGATCTCATAATCTCTTCAAACATGGCAATTTGGCCAGTCCTTTCAATTGAGAAATACAATCTAAAGGTAAAAATGACCACTTTTAACTAGAAAATGAGAAGTTCAAATTTCTATCATAAAATTACAAAAACAAGACATTTATCAAGTGATTTCTGGGGATCTAACATCCACGAAACCTTCCCTTTTAATAGCGTACGTTCTTCAGGTCCACCTGCGTCTTAAACGTTTGTCGTCATTGTCGAAGTGACCATCTTCTGGAACGCAGGTCAATTTGTTGTACTTTTTCTTGCGTAGGGACTGCGGTTAGATTGAAATTATCCAACAGAATTTCGAATGAGAGATTTCCTTCTGTCGATGGACGAGCTGTGTACTAACCGTTTACACAGCTGGTTTCGGTGTCGAATTTACCTGACTCTTCCCACCTTTAATTCGTAAATGACTTGACCTAGCCTTCTGACCACATATCTTTATTCCAAGAAACATAGTTTGGTCTGTACTCTCGAGAAAATACAGGACATCCAAACTCGTGCGTTGGCATCTTCTTGAGCTTAGTCTGTGATGGTGGTGTGGTTCTTGTAAACATTAGGGTGTGGATCGTTCTCAATCTTCCCATGAGAATCTCTTCTGAGGAATTCTCTGGTAGCATGTCACTTGATGTTGTTCTATAAACGAATAAGAAGTTGTGTAGTATTTCTAGCATCCCCAACAAATTTTTTGAACTTTACCACCGGGTAGTTGCCTACCTTTATTGGTATCTAGGTAGCTGCATAAGTGCCGGTGGGGGTGTGAATGATGAGATCAATCCCAGTATAGTGAAAGCCAGAGCGGCTTATGCCAATCTGGGCCATGTTTGGCGCCTTCGTGATGTTAGTCTGTAAAAGGTCGGATGTACAACGCGTCGGTGAGAGCAGTTTTGCTCTATGCTTGCGAAACCTGCCCTCTCCGAGTTGAGGACGTTAGACGACTTTCTGTGTTTGATCACCGTTGTCGCCGAAGGATTTCTGTCATCCAGTGGCAACACCATGTTAGTAATGCAGAGATTCGGCATCGTGTATTCGGGCACAGAGACGATAATCCAATCGGTGTCACCATCTTGAAACACCGACTTCGGTGGCTTGGACATGTTCTACGAATGTCGTCCCAGAGAATTCCACGTCGTGCATTATTTGCCGACTCTGGGACTGGTTGGAAAAAGCGGAGAGGTGGTCAGTGCATGACATGGTGTCGTGGTATGAAAGAAAGCTGCAAAGGACTGGCTTCTGTCGGTCCTTCACGACTCCCTGGTTGGGGTCCGAGAGATGTTGCGATATAGTGACTAGAAACGTTACCAGACATGGCTCAGAATAGAATCCAGTGGCGATCCTGCTGTAACCTTCTTTTACTTTCTTCATGAAAAGTGGTTGTATCTTCCTTAACTGAAAGAATTCTTCTGGTTGTACCTTTCCGTTCCTCCATTATTATTATTATTATTATTATTATTATTATTATTATTATTATTATTATTATTATTATTATTATTATTACTGCACTACCTCACACCAATCTCTTCGTTATCGTTCTCTTTTTTTTAACGCTCCTAACATTTTTTCTTTTTCCTTCTCTTTAAATTCTCATTTTTTTGTGTGACGCATATATATTTGGTGCACTCTTGTACCAATATTTATGTGTTCAAATAAATAAATAAAATAAATTGGCATGCCTTTAGGTAATTCTATTTCCACTTTCATTAAGTATCATCATGCTAAATTTTTGTTGTCCCGTTCTCTTTTAATTTGGGCATATTAAAATTAACCATGGGTATGTAATATTTTGTACTAATCGACTAGCGTTATCGATTGATTGACAAATTCACCATTGGATGCTAGCCACTTTCATTAATCGTTGCAACCTAATATCTCAAATATATAAGTATTCGAACTATGTCAATAAAAGGGTGTATATGATGGTTTATTTCATTATTTGTATTATGAAAATTGTCACCAAATTTCGACTCATTGCTAAATAGTTCAGCGATCGAGCAGTTATAAATCAGTGGTTTAACTATCATTTAAACAGCTGGATAATATCATTCGATCTTGTTCACTATGTCTGGTCTAATTCCTTTCACATGATTGTTTATTATATTTTAGAACTTTTGTTGCTGCATGGTAATGATCTAACAACGTTAAATATTATATTTATTATTCATTAGAAAGACATAATTCACAAGCTATTAAAAAATTCACATTCTCAATATCAGTTTAAATTTAAATTGTTAATGTGATTTCCAGTTAGCTTGGTTCATTCGTGTCTAAATACAGTTGATTGTCAAAGTATAGTATTCAACTGCTTATTCACTTCCCCCTTCCACTTTTTTTTAGGCTCATCAATGATAATCTTGTCGGTGAATTAGTTTGTGATAATTCTAATAATTGTGAACATCTTACGGAGGATTGTATGAATGAGCTTGTTAAAAAATTACTCAGTGAATTATCCACTCAAAAAAATACTAGTGAATCACAAAAGCGAGAATTAATTTTTTATGATGATTTGAACGAAACATCTAACAGTTTAGAGTTAATGAACTGTGAACCTACTTCAAACGCACTTCTGATTGGTAAAGAGAGTATACTAAAACAAAGCAAGAAGAAGAAAACCACGACCAAAACAATAAAAGAACATACTCAACAACATGATGGCAGTCAGTCACGTAAAAGAAGACTAACTGACTTAGATGAATCAATGCAGTCGTCATTAAATGATGAAGAGATATTAAACACTAAGTCAACTTTCATATCAAAGAATTCTAAGAAAAAACAACCTCGTCTAGAAGATGAAACTAATCTACTTAACAATAAATATATGAATGATGTAAAAACGAAGGTCAAAAGTAAAAAATCATCAGATAAATCTGTAAATAATGTACAGTCATTTGTATCTTTGAATAGTGACAACATTTTCTCTAAAGATTTACTTAAACGCTATGAAAAATTTATGTATCCTAAGAATGAAAATGGATTTGATGATGAAATGCAAACACATGAAACACTGGAATCAACAGATTCAAACAATGATGATCATTTGAATATTAAGAAAAATGATAAAAATGGTGAATAAACGTTTTTTTTTCTGATTTTTTAGAATTTGAAGTCCGTTGTTTCAGGGTTACTTTAACACGTTTATATTTTAGGATTCAAACTTATTATTAGAATGTTGAAGGGAGACTATATCATTCTAAGAGAACTAAGATCTGAATCCATGTTTTCGTAAAAAAAACGATTGAATCTAGTTTTATGAATAATATTCAGCCATGTTGGTTAATGCATGTATCAATTTGATTTCTTGTACCAGGATTCTCCACTGAGACCAGTTTTTTCAACTATTTTGATCAATAAATTCACAACTGGTAATGTGATTCATTTAATATAGTATACATAGAAGAATATAGCGAGTGCATCAAGGTAACGATACTAAGTACTGATAAGCTCAGTAGATAAAAAGTTTCTGGTTTTTGTTTTTTTGAGTTTTATGCCGATTCTTTTCATGGTAGACAGTGATCCCTCTGTAGTCAAATAGAACTATGAACATCACGAAACTTGAAGACTTTTAGGAGTCTTGTAATATCTTTCATTCATTACGGCGATATCCTTTAACTTTTGTTCAGCATCTTCACTACTCCTTGTCATTAGTGTTTCAGTACTCTTGTCTTCGGTTACTAAGTAGTCAAATAACAAATATCGTCGTTGTTTATAATATCTCCTGCCTATTTTACTCCTTGCAGAAAGTCAAGCTGCCAAGGAATGGCGTTTACGAGATATGGAGATGCGTAAAGCTATGCTAGCAGAATTGACCACTGAACAACAATGTCTTCCTAAGGGACAATTACATCCACAAACTACAGAAGAATTTGAATTAGCCGTTCGTAATATGCCATCAAATGAATTTTGTTGGATTGCTTATATGACACACATATTGTCAAGCAAAGTAGATCATCAGTCTATTAACAGTAATCTTAACAAAGGAGTTATTGATGCTAGAGCAATAGTTGAACGTGGGCTACGTGCTATATCAAATTCTACCAGTAATAATCAACTAACCAAACAATCTCGTTTACTCACATCGTATTTAATTATGGAAGCGAAAGAATTGGAACGTCTCACCTGTCTTCAGAAACAACAACAATATCATATGTCATCGTCAACATCTATGTCAGATCTAGTAGTAGAAATCAATCATCAGTCAAAACGTGTTTCTCAATTACTAACCCAATTGTTAAATTTAAATCAAGCTCCGTTTATTAGAAAAGCTATCCATACTCTTTCAGATATTGGTCATCATACCGTAAGTTTTCAATTTTATACTAGTACTATCTTCATAATACATTTGAAATTTCGTATTTATTTTAATCAAGGATCTCATAGATACCACTGATTTTGCTAAAAATTCCTAAAAGGGTATCATGGGATCTTACTAGAAAAATCTCTCTGCATTGTTGGTGCGATAACATGCTTATTACATGTGCGTTTCACCATATTTCACTCTGTTTTCCACAAAACACTGTTGATGTTCACACCTGAACTAAAACCCAGTACGTTTAGCTCCAGACGCCCAACTTTTTATTCTTTTTACCTACCAAATTGTGATAGCCTTTATTTGTTCAACGCGAATGATTCCCCAAATGCCGTGGTATGGCTGAGAGTGGGGAGAGTCCGCTCTTCCTCTCCAAATGCTCTCACATAGCCACGCGTATATAGCCTCTGCCAGGGAAGTCCTACTCACTGCATTCTCGCGATGGAGGTGTTGTTTACGAAATTGAGAGGACGAGAAACGAAACTCCGACGTTTTAACCGGGTTGGTGGACATGGAGAGTCCACCTAGGGGAGTTGGAAAACGCTGATTCCAAACCAATGGTGCACATGGGCTCCATGATATTGAAGGAACAAATGGAGAATGAACCAATTATTGGTCACCGGCAACCATGAGACTGCATCTCCTCACGATGTTCCATTGCCTTGTGGATCAGACCTTCAAGTCAAAGGCTCCGTGTGTGGCTCCCCATGAAAACCACTTGCTTCAGTTTGGACACTTGAGCAGTATCACAGCCCTCACACATATGAAACGAAATTTGTGTGTCGCCTCCTCGTACCAATAGCTATGTGTTAAAATAAATAAATAAAATAAATGAATGTTTCTATCATCGATAGAAAGGTTTTGATTTGTCTACTTGTTCATGTTAGGGAGTGAGGTCTTGTCAATCATTGTCCATCTTTTGCAGACTTCCTCGACATAGTTACTATTACACTGTAGTATAAACAACAGGAAAAGTCAAACACTATCTAATGATGGTTTTAATATTTTGGAGCTACTTCAAAGCATCCTTTATGACACACAACTAGTGTATGAGAATGTCATGTTCGTACTCAACCTCGTTAATATCCTTAAATTTAGCTTCCAGGAATTGAGATATGTCTTTCTAATTCGCCATTGATCCTAAAGCACCAGCGAATATTTATTTAAAAAGCAACAAACTAGCTGTTTACTATTGGGCAAGTATATATGACATTGTTATGCAAACTGTTGAATCGATGTCGGAATCTCTTTAATTCTGAATACACAAGTTAGAAAATGTGAATAAGCAATTTTCTGTTTGAGACTTCAATTATATGAAAAAAAGATGTTAAAGCGGTTTCACTAAAGTACTGAGTTTTTCTTAATGATTTACTATTAAAATTCACATAGTTAACATATTTCTAAAATGGTTGACTATTCATTGTAACTTACTAGATGCCTGCAAATTAAGAATAAAATTTTCCTCGAAATTGTGGCTCCCATAGACACAGTAAGAGGAATTACACCCTAGAACTATTTGTTCAAAATTGTATACCATTCTAATGGTCCTTAAAATTTTGAAAACATTATACGACCACATATCATTAATCATTTTAACCAACACTAAAATTTACATCAGTTATCTTTTTTCATCTTAATTTTTTTTCTATGCCGAAAATCTTCTTTAAGTAGTCTTTACTATTTTGAAATAAGTAATTTTTTATAAAGACTATTTCATTCTATTGAATTATAAGAAAATGGCATCATTTTCACTTATAGTTTAAATTTCTTTTGTGTTACACATCATATTCGATTAGAATAAATAGAATAAAATAAATTGTACTTCGAAGGAAAAAAAATTCACGTCTCTATGTGTTTATCGTACCACTCATACATTTTGTTTCACTCGAAATGATAAACGCTTATTGCATTCATATTAAAAAAAAACTTAGTTACTAAAACCAAGTACATATTGACCCATACTTGTTCTATCAGTGAAATTATTTATGTTGCACTGCTTTTTTCCTTTATTGCATTCAAAGAATTACCAGAAAATAACTTGTCAGTACTTTATTATCGACATATTCTTGATACATGTAACAATCATACAATTATTGTTTCTACTTTAAACTAGTATTTTTGACGATGTAATGCATTTATTTACCTCTCTATTCATAAGAGTAATTTCTTTTAAAATATATACACATAGATGCATACAATGACCATTGACATGTTAAATGATTGACAGTCGTACAATATCATGTTTTCTTTTTCCATTAGTTTAATACTTTCATGTTTTATTTTAAAAACAAAAGAGAAAAACAACTACACAGTCTTTGTCTTAAAACATAATGACATTATGGTTTCACAATAGACATTGTTTAGAGAAGAGAAATATGTAGATAAACTTCGTTAATATTTGTTTCACCTCAACTGATCATGTTTATTTGTATCCAGGTGTTCTTTGATGGTTATTAATAACACAGACAAATTATAATTGTGATTTTCAGTGTTTTTTCACTTCTCTACTAACTAATGTTAACACATTGTTACACTTGTTATTCAGCCGGGATTTCACAATGATTTGTCGAGTTGGTTGAATTGACTTAGTAAAGTCTGTAGGACTATACTGTTCTCGAGCTCAACTTTTGGTATAAATTAGTAAGCTAGACTATTAGTTGCTAACACTTTGATTTAAACTAGGTTTTTTCTTCGGCAACTTAAATTTGTGGAAATTCAAATACTATACAACTTGTGTAGTACAAACAATTATAAATATTTTGCAGGAGTATCATTCCTAATTTATTACTCCTTTCTAAAAATGATCAGAATTCTCTACATATTTACCACTTTTCAATTTATCGTTTATTAATAACACTGGTATTTATTATCTCTACTTATATCGAATTTAGACAGTTGTATAAGGTTACTTCTTTTTATTCATTCTTTATCTTGTCTAACACACGAATTTTATTTGTGTATCTGATCGTAGTCGGAGTGATTTGTCAGTGCAATTTGTGTACTAAAATATGTGTTCTATGTAGCAATAAAGTGCGAATACTATCATTAATATTTTTCCTTCTAATTTAATATAAATTTATCAAAGCATATTCGAGATATTTTAATTACATTATTATTATCAGTCTTCTTAATTACTAGTTATTTTTTGTTCTGAACCTCCGTCAACAACAACCTCGACTATTATTATAATAATATTATTATTCTTATTGTGATTATAATTATTAATATGAATAACTACAAAGCAATAAATATTTATTTGCATCGATATTCGTTGTTACTTCGAGTAGATCAACAGTTAACTCGACGATTAATTCTTGTTTATATATGTATCGAGAGATGATCCCAATGTTCTAGGGAGAAGCTATGACAAGTAGAGTTCATCACTCTTGAATGTGAAGCAGTTACCTACCGAGTAGATTGGAACATGATATTCTAAATTAATTAAAGCTAAACATACAGACTTTTGGATGCCGGCGTAGTGGTCTGAAGGTTAAGAGTTCGCGTGTAAAATAGACTGTCCTGGGCTCGGTACCCAGTGATGAAGTCGTGAACACGCTTTATTGTATCCTGTCCTTAAATAAAATGGATGTATAATGCTTCCTGTTTTTCATTGGCTGTTTAGCCAAGATACGTTCTGGTTACTGAGTGTAAGATTAACACTTGTTGAAGCAGTTCATAAATTTGAAAATCTTTCAACAAATAACAGATAATATTTACTTAGCTGTTTTCATGAATCACTTGTGAACAACGTCCTCATTTGTTGTTTAAGGTTTCAAGGTTTAACGGAGTTGTGCATCATGATCGTAAAATATAAGATATAGTGACTAAGGTTCCAGTAGTTAGTAAATGGAACAAAGTCAATTTCTAAAACCTAATACTTGTTTGGCAACACGTCAGTGTATGATGTTGTTTAAGAACAAATCTGTATCATTGTGTGTACTTTGATGCAATGGAATCAAATAATCTGAGTTATTGATAGCTTTATTTATTTAGGCTACAAATATTTTATCTTATTTCTTTTTAGTGCCATTCACGTGTTGTAGTACCACCAATGAAGTTGATACAATTGTTTGGCATAAATGGTCCGATCAAGTAATCAAACCGCTTTCTAATAGCTTTTATTTTTCAAAAAGCTGAGAAACGCGTAACACATCATCAGTTGTCATTCATCTTAGTATGCTATACTAGAGTATGTTGTTAGCTTCTAAACCAAAGTTCATGAAAAATGGATACTACTACATTGTGATCAATTTATTATCCTACAATCTTATCGCTTCACTTTTCTAATGCTCTTTATTTCGTATACTGTTGTCGGTATTATTAGTTTTTGTGCTGTCTTTTCCTGTGTTAATTTATTCCATGTGTTCTGTACGAGACTGTAGTTACTTGAAGCTAGATGCAGCTGTTTTATTTTCTTTCTGTTATCTATCTATCAGTGTACTAATGTTTGAACATAACTTGGTTTAATTTCAAGTAAAAATAATCCCATACTTTTCGATCTCCAGTATTTTAATAACTATTGACTCGTAATGAACAACCTTTAAAGTCAACCAACAGTTCTTAACCTACGATATTTCCGCTGTGTCATGCTAGTAATTTTTTTCAAACATAATTAATATTTATTTGAACTGGATCCTCACAACTTGCAATTTATTGTTGTGTTTCTACTCATTTAATAGCGCGCTGAGGAATTAGCTCGCCGCCAAATCAAATCTTGTCCAAACGATGTTGACCATTGGCTTTCACTTATAAGAGTTCGATTTCGAGCTGGTAATGTTGAAGCTGCTCGAGAAGCTCAACGAAATTCGGCCTCGCTGTTAAAATCGTCTCTTCTTCCACAACTGGCTATTGGGTGAGGTGTTACAACTTTATTATTCTTTTTAATTTATTTTCCATTATGTTTATGCATTTTTTTGTTACTACCTATTTACTCAAAGTACTAAAATAATATTTATTACTCACTTTGGAAAATAGCGGTGTAAAACTCGACATAAGAACAAATTAGATATATGTTAATTTCATCCTTACCTCTCTTGCGGTATTGGGAATGTCTAGGAAGTACTTTCTCTCCACTTCATTCAATAAGTTATCTATTGAAATCTGTATAATGCGCTAATTGTTTATATTTACAATTGACTGATCACTAGGCGGTGACTAATGTCGTGTATGCCAAGTCCTTTAGTGTTGATTGAATTCTATCAATCAAACTGCAATATCTCAACTAGTCAAAGTGGCTCAACATTGCGTTATCTATATTGAGATTTAAGGTGATAGGGGGTGATCGGCAGGAAACCCTGGACCTAGGTTTCTCTCTGTTTGGGACCACCGCATGATCAATCAGTTGTAAATACATCTTAGTCCTGTATGTCAGTCACAGCTTGGATGTTTTTTACGCTTATCTGTGTGACACGGTATCGAATCCTCCAGGTGTTATCAGTCCCTTCAAGAGAACAAGCAAACCTTGCTGACGAGTGATAAATACCACGAAACCTAGGTATATGGTTTGTCGACTACCTCCAACCACTATCTTACTAGTTGTTTATATAGTATGACCTGCAATATAGATGAAGTTTTATACTCCAGATAACGTTCTAATTTTGTTAACATACTTCAAAAAGGAATGGAACAAATCGGAGTCAAAACTCATCATTCGTTCGACTATTGGCACTTGTTGATATTTGTAAAAATATGTCTATAACATGTAAATATTGGTCTGTACAAGTGATTCGAAGAATTTTTGATTTTCTTATTTAAATATGCTCCCAATCAATCGAAATGGTTTTTAGATTTTTAAATCAGTTCAATGTGATTTACATAATATACAGACCAGCAAGGTCGCCATCCAACCATATTTTTTCAGTACTTCATAGTATGTTTGTAGTTTTCTCCATCCTTTTAGCATATTCTCACTAATTTACGAGTGTGAGGTGGATGTAAACTACCTGGTTGGTATTCGTACGTCAACTCCAAATAACATAACGTAGTTCAGAATCGTTCTCACCTGCGCAGATACGTTCAATTTTTATCTCGCTCACAGTTTTAAGTTTAAACATAACTTACATTCCTTTCCACTCTATCTTTGAACAGTATTCTCAATATTTAGTTGTTCTTTCTATCGTTGCTACTTCATTATTTGTTATCCCTTTTTCAATTTACATTTATACTTTGAATTCATCTCGTTGTATCCATGTGGTATGGCAATTTAAGCCGTCGCACATGTTTTCAAGGCTCCATGTTGATGATAACTAAATGAAATTATAAGTTTAATAAAAAAAGGTTGGATTTTGTAAAACTAAATTTGTTTGCTTTATTCTCCATTGGTTCTGCTTAATATTATTTTTGTGCTTTGTTATACATTTACATTATCCTCGATATTTGTTTTTTTCTGTTCAGTGTTGCGAGAATTGAGTTTGAATATGGCGACGTTGATCGTGGAATACGCTTACTACAAGAACAATTAACTGTTCATCCTAAACGTAAACTTCTATATGAAGAATGTATCAAATTATTAATAATGAATGGCAAAATTAAAGAAGCCAGGTAAAATATAATTACATCTTGAATGTAATTTAATGTAATGTATTTATTTACCCTATAATCTAGTCTGGTTATCTTTTCATTAACCGTTCTAATACATACACTGTGTCATGGGGTTTAATTAAACCCTTAACCTATGAACCAACAATTTTATTCTGTCAGTTGGTTTTCGATGTCCAACCATTGATTGTAGTCAATTTGAATTTAGAAAATAGCCCCCTGTATCGTAACTCATCTATTCAAAAATTTCACAAACATTGTCTAAGTATCCTAGTTTGGCATATAATAGTTATTTTTTCAGCTATTAAACAAAACTTGAGGTTTTTAGTTTTATTATGAATTTATGGTTAAATTCCCATTGCATTCATATTCTCTGTGCCCACCATTTTTATTTAACTGATTCAAATTATTCTCGATAGCTTCATTGGATATTTTCTTAATTTTGTTCCTATTATAAATTTATGACAGTTTTTGCTTTGACCTCATTAATTTATGTTTTTCAGAACTGTTCAACAGCAAGCTGAGAAAAATTTAAAACCTGTCCAATGTACCACTTTAAATTCGTTGTTTGAAGGTCAAGTGACATGTTGAACAAATTTATCCTATATATCAGATTTTCTCAAATAAATTGTTCTCTCATTTTGTAATACTACTAACATTGTGAATAAAATCTTTGTATAAAAAGATATTTCATCATTTTTGAATAAGAAATGGGTGAATTGATTGTCCACTTGTGTATTACGTAACTCAACGTTATTGATAGTACACTATTCTATTGTCGAGTAGATGATCACATAGATTAACTATTGGTAGTTGATGATGTACAAAAGTGTTAAATAATAAGTTTCGGGATTCTTGAGATTAAATTCACATAGGAGTTTTACATGGATATTTTAAATAATGATGTACGAATGATAGTATCTACATGCAAGATAAAACTGTTACTGTATTTGTGCTTAGAAAACTTTCTCGTGCTGAGCAAGAATATTGTCTGATAATAAATTTTCTTCGTTCAACCTTTTTCAGGTTCCATTTACTTCACTAGGTTAGTTTTGATTGCGTAATAACTTAAGGAGTGATGAGACGGGTTCACCGACGTACATTTACCTGAAAGTTAACTACAATAGGATTGTTGTTGTAACTGATAGTTTGTTAATTACAAAAAAATGGTGAATGTTTTTTGTGGTTTTATTTATTAGTGATATTCATAGCGGATTGATCTCATACCATTCAAAACAATGAAGCACTAAACGCCGCTTCATTTTAATATGGGACCACTCAGCAGTGCGCACCTACAGCTCCACCAAGGATCAAACCTAAAACCATTAGATCTGGCAGCTAGTGCTTAACCACTAGAGCCACTGGATCCGATGTCCACTGGCACGATTCCAACTTGCGGAGTAGCTCGACGATCGTCTATTATTAACAACCATTTCAATCTCAACTTTTCCGAAATCCGCTAGTCACTACAGCTTCGAGAACATCTTAAAGTATATCACTAGTAAACTGACTACTATGGTTTAATTGGAAAAGATTGGATATATACTGATAGAGCATTATTAATTATTGTTTTCGATAACAACAAGGGAAATATATAAACTAGTACGAATTTTTTATATCACGGTTGGGCTATTTTCTAAGCATTTAATCTAATTTATAGATATTTTCTTATATATATTTAATTGTACCCGAAAGTGATTCTTTGGAACTACTATTGTTTATTTATACTCAAGTTTACCGAGCTTTGTATAACTTGATATTATCTTTGATTTTGTTTGTGCTAATGATATTAACATATTACTGTAAGCAGACTAAGAATATCATTTATTATTATTATCACTATTATTAATATTAATGAGATACTGATTTATTATATTTAGTTATGAAATACCAAGCAACTAAATCTCAGAAGCCCATTTCCCTATAACCATATAAAGTACACTTGAGATAACTACTAAACCAGCCTAAAATTGTATCAATAAAGTATCCGTTTAATTATCGTTAGGAGTTCTAAAGCCCACTATTAGGTTTATTAAAGGCAATGATGAAGTAAATTGGGGAAGAATCGATTAAACCACAAGAAAAGAAATAAAGTTACTGAAGAAAATGTCAGAAATTATAATAATAATAAAAATATACTATACATGTTCGCGGTAAATTATACCATAGAAAAACAATGCATTCAGCAACATACATCATTTTGATCACCATGCTTTTAGAAAGCTACAGCAAAACTGTTCTGACCGATGCGTTGTAGATCCGACCTTTTGTAGCCAGGCTAACATCACGAAGGCGCCAAGGATGGCCCAGATTGACATAAGCCACTCTGACTTTCACTATACTGGGATTGATCTCGTCACTTACGCAGATACACTAACTTCTCGACTAATATCTTCTCAGTACACAATGTGAGTGCAGGGTCAACATCCTGTCAGTCTTGTAAAAGTACTTTGCACTTAGAAGATGCCATACAAATACTTGTTATGTCCTATGGCTTGCGCAAAGCACATACCATACGGACACTGATTAAGTGTAGATTTCATGACTTGAATATCATCTCACAACAAGACAATATCATCTGCACACTCGAGGTCGAAAAAGTCTTTCTTCAGGCAACAGATCCACACCACCACATACATCTATCAGATATTTTTCCAGGACGTCGTCGATGGAAAAGTTGAGGAGGAATGGTGAGATCGGGCAACTATGTCTAACCTCAGTGCTTGAATGGAGCAATGAAGAGAGGTGGTTCTATGCTCTCACTCTGCTTTCATATGAATTATGACGGAAGCCAATATTTTGGACGCAATCGGAAGTAAACTTATCCCCCGATAGTTGTTGCGGGAATGAGGTGAACCCTTTTTTAAGACGGATAACTGTAGACTCATTCCATGATGTTAGAACACTCTACTTGATAAGGCTTTGTAAACAACTCTGTCAATTCCTTCACCAGGAAGCAACCACCATCTTCGTAAAGTGCCTGAGGTAAGTCATCTTAAACTGGATTTATAGTGCTTCAAGACTACCTCAGCAAATAAACCGAAATAATATGCAGGATTTTAGAAATAAACAGACAGTTGTTCTACAGGACAAGAATAATGTGGTTTTTCAAACTGTTACAGGATCAATCCACTGCTCATGTTGCACAACCAATTAGCTTTTCTGAACCAGGATATATTGACGTCTGGATTAACAAAAAGGAATGAAATAGTTGATATTTTGGTCAGTTATATATATATATATATATATATATATATATATATATATATAATGGTAACTTTCAAATGAGCAAAGGACTTGTGAGAAAACTCAAGCGTCTGCTCATGAAATCACTGTTTAACTAATCCATTTCAAGGGTTCCAATCACTTATTTGTAATCCATGAAATTAATTCAAACAATGTAAAACGACCCCCAAACGCCCTGGTTCGGCTGAGAGTGGGGAGAGTTCGCTCTCCCTCTCTAAATGCTCTCACATGGTCACGCGTATATAGCCTCTGCCAGGGAAGTCCTACTCACTGCATTCTCGCGATGGGGGTGTTGTTTACGAAATTGAAAGGACGAGAAACGAAACTCCGACGCTTTAACCGGGTTGGTGGACATGGAGAGTCCACCTAGGGGATTTGGAAAACACTGATTCCAAACCAATGGTGCACATGGGCTCCAGGATCCTGAAGGAAAAAACGGCGTATGAACCAATTGTTGGTCACCGGCGACCATGAGACTGCATCTCCTCACGATGCTTCACTGCCTTGTGGATCAGACCATCAAGTCGAAGGCTCCGTGTGTGGTTCCCCATGAAAACCACTTGCTTCAGTTTGGACACTTGAGCAGTATCACAGCCCTCACACATATGAAACGAGATTTGTGTGTCGCATATGTATTTGGTGCCTCCTTGTATCAATATCTTTGTGTTAAAGTAAATAAAAAAACGACCGTAGCTAGAATCTTTCAGAATCAACGCTGATACACATTTCTTATCTGCCCCCGTTTGTTTGTATTTCCTTTACTTTAGAATAGTTGTTAACTTATGAACTTCTAAAATCTAATTTTATAATACTGTTTAGTAAATGATTATTATTTGTTTTAATTTTCATCGTTCGTTTTCTCTCACTGTATTATTGTAAAAAGTGATAATGTTAATCAATACACATCTATGACAGATTTTAGTGTTTATTCACTATTCATTGTTAGTTGTAATGTAATTTGTTAAAATTCTGCTAACAACTGACAATTCATACTGATCAATCATAATCAGAAAATTAATCTGTGGGAAAATCAAAGAAAATTGAAAACATCAAATCACTATAGAGGATCTGTATTTTGATTGATTCAATAAAATTAATTTGTTTAGAAAAATAATCACTCAGTGTTTTATAAGAAGTGGATATACCTAAAGACAAAAGAAAAAAAGAAAAGCAGCAGACGCATATCCACAAAGTTTCTGCACAAAAATTAAATATTATTTATTTTAGTTACATCATACAAATACACTTTTGTCTAATTTTAATGTTTTAATTTACCATTAAATTGATCAATAATTAAAAAAGAATTATTGTTTTCTAATGAAGCTATCCACATATTTATTTTCAGTTTTTATTCATCTTAATGTAATTTATACAGTTAGTAACTAATTATCAACTTTTACCATGTCTAATTTTTTTTTATAATTGAGAAAGTATTAATGTAACCTGTGAAGTTTTCTAATCAATCTATACCATTCATTTAACAAATAAATATTTTCAGAAGGGGTTTGTGGAGATTTTAGAAATTTTCACAGATTTAAATCATGAGTCAGTTGAAGCTAGACCACCATTGAAAACCTGGAAGCACTGGACGGCCGTTTCGTCCCTTCTGATAATAATCATCTGCTCACTAGTGACTGACTTCAAGAGATACTCCTGGAGTTCTAGTGGGAAGCCGTTACCAGTGGAGTTCAACCAGGTCTGTTGTGAGATATCAGCTCACTGAAGACAATGGTGTACGGTGGAGCAACTTCGTGGATTGCTTGAAGCTAGACATTAACACCGTTGGATGCCGGCTCAGTGGTCTAATGGTTAAGTGCTCGCGCGCGAAGCCAGTAGGTCCTGGGTTCGAGCCCCGCGTGGTGCAGGATCGTGGATGCGCACTGCTGAGAAGTCCCATACTAGGACGAAACGGCCGTCCAGTGCTTCCAGGTTTCCAATGGTGGTCTAGCTTCAACTGACTCATGATTTAAATCTGTGAAAATAAATATTTCTTCGTTGAAATAAAGTTTAATGTATAATAAACTAAAAATCAAAGTTATACAGATCTCAGTTTCCCTGTTACCTACTTTTTGAATGATAAATTTTGATAAATAAATAGGGGTTTGGATGCTTTCGGTGAGTGGGACTCCTCAGCAGTGCGCATTCATGGTACCATCTCGCGAGGTTCGAACCTAGGACCTACTGGCCTCGTGCGCGAACGCCTAGCCTACTAGATCACTGAGCCGGCATCCAACAGTGTTAATGTCTAAATTCAACTGATCAACAAAACTGAGTGACACATCCACCATTGTCTTTAGTGAGTTACTATCTCACATCAGACCCGGTTGAACTCCACTGGTCACTGCTTCTCACTAGAACTGCAGAAAACACTTCGCACTACTGAGGAGTCCCACAATTGGACGAAACGGTCATCCAGTGTTTCCAGGTTTTTC